TTCCATGGGCATTGATTCTGGATCCAAGTAAAATGAAATCCTTGACAACTTCAAACTTTTCTCCATTTATCATGATGTTGCTTATTGGTCCAATTGTGAGGATTTTTGTTTTGTTTATGTTGAGGTATAATCCATGCTGAAGGCTGTAGTCTTTAATATTCATCAATAAGTGTGTCAAGCCCTCTTCACTTTCAGCAAGCAAGGTCGTGTCATCTGCATAACACAGGTTGTTAATGAGTCTTCCTCCTATTCGGATGCCATGTTCTTCTTGATATAGTCCAGCTTCTCAGATTATTTGCTCAGCATACAGGTTGATTAAATATGATGAAAAGATACAACCCTGACACACAATTTTCCTGATTTTAAACCACGAAGTATCCCTTTGTTCTGTTCAAATGAATGTCTCTTGGTCTATGGACAGATTCCTCATGAGCACAATTAAATGTTCTGGAATTCCCATTCTTCCCAAAGTTATCCATAATTTGTTATGATCTACACAGTCGAATGCCTTTGCATAGTCAGTAAAACACAGGTAAATATCTTTCTGGTATTCTCTGCTTTCAACCAAGATCCATCTGACGTCAGTAATGATATCCCTCATTCCACATCCTCTTCTGAATCTGGCTTGAATTTTTGGCAGTTCCCTGTTTATGTACTGCTACAACCATTATTGAATTATCTTCAGCAAAATTTTATTTGCATATGATATTATTTGATAATTTCCACATTCTGTTGGATCATCTTTCTTAGGTATGGGCAGAAATATGGATCTCTTCCAGTCAGTTGGCCAGGAAGCTGTCTTTAAAATTTCTTGACATGGACTAGTGGGCACCTATAGTGCTGCTTTTGTTTGTTGAAACATTTCAATTGATATTCTGTCAATTCCTGGAGCCTCATTTTTCACCAGTGCCTCCAGTGCAGGGTGGACTTCTTCCTTCAGTACCTTCAGTTCTTGATCATATGCTACCTCCTGAAATGGTTGAATGTCAACCAATTCTTTTTGCTATAGGGACTCTGTGTATTCCTTCCATCTTCTTTTGATGCTTTCTGCATTGTTCAATATTTTGCCCATACAGTCCTTCAAAATTGCAATTGTGAGGCTCGAATTTTTTCTTCAGTTCTTTTGGCTTGAAAAATGCCAAGTTTGTTCTTCCCTTTTGATTTTCTAACTCTTGGTCTTTGCATATTTCATTATGATAGTTTATCTTCTCGAGCTACCCTTTAAAATCTTCTATTCAGCCCTTACTTCATCATTTCTTCTTTTTGCTTTAGCTGCTCTGTGTTCAAGAGCAAGTTTCAGAGTCTCTTCTGACATCCCTTTTGGTCTTTTCTTTCTTTCCTGTCTTTTTAATGACCTTTTGCTTTCTCCATATATGATACCCTTAATGTCATTCCACAACTCTTCTGGACTTTGGTCATTAGTGTTCAATGCATCAAATCTCTTCTTGAGATAGTCTCTAAACTCAGGAGAGATGTACTCAAGCTCTTATTTTGGTTCTAGTGGACTTGTTTTAATGTTCTTTAGCTTCAACTTAAACTTATGTAGGAGCAATTGATGGTCCGTTCTGCAGTCGGCCCCTGGCCTTGTTCTAACTGATGATATTGAGCTTTTCCACAGTCTCTTCCCACAGATGTAGTCATTAATTCTTATGTTTTCCATCCAATGAGATCCACATGTATAGTCTCTGTTTACATTGTTGAAAAAGGTATTTGCAATGAATAAGTCATTGGTCTTATAAAATTCTATCATGGGATCTCTTGCATCATTTCTATCACCAAGGCCATATTTTCCAACTAGAGATCCTTCTTCGTTTCCAACTTTTGCATTCCACTTACCAGTAGTAATCAATATTCCTTAATTGCGTGTTTGATCAATTTCAGACTTTAGAAGGTGGTAAAAATCTTAAATTTCCTCATCTTTGGCATTAGTGGTTGGTGTGTAAATTTGAATAATAGTCTTGTTAACTAGTCTTCCTTGTAGGCTTATGGGTATTATCCTATAACTGACAGTATTGTACTTCAGGATAGATCTTGAAATGTTCTTTTTGAGGATGAACGCAACTTATTCCTTTTCAATTTACCATTCCTGACATAATAAACCATATGATTGTCTTCTTCAAAATGGCCAATACCAGTCCATTTCAGCCCACTAATGCCTAGGATCTTTATGTATTCCATTTCATTTTTGATGACTTCCAATTTACCTAGATTCATGCTTTGTACATTCCATGTTTCGATTATTTATAGATGTTTGAGATGTTTCTTCTCATTTTGAGTCACACTACATCAGCAAATGAAGGTCCTGAAAACTTGACTCAACCTTTGTCATTAAGGTTGACTCTTCTTTGAGGAGGCAGCTCTTCCCCAGTCAAATTTTGAGTGCCTTCCAACCTGAGGGACCCATCTCCTGGCACTATATCAGACAATGTTCCGCTCCTATTCATGATTTGCTGGCTAATTTTTTTCAGAAGTAGACCGCCAGATCCATCTTCCTAGTTTGTCTTAGTCTGGAAGCTCCTCTCCACCATGGTTGATCCTGCTGGCATTTGAAATACCGGTGGCATAGCTTCCAGCATCACAGCAACATACAAACCACCACAGTATAATAAACTGACTGACATATGGTGGCTTTTTGTATATGCATATTAAATTATCTGTTTCATTGAGATACTGGGAATGGGGAGGAAAAATGACTTCATTCATGTTGTCTTTCCATCTGCTAATGTAGCCTGAGAGTGTTGAGGTAACTGTAACCAATGCATTTGTTACCTTTTTTATTTTTATTGAGCACAGACAGGAAATAGAACTGGAAAATAGAATGGAAATTTCCACTAATGGTTTTCTGTGCCTCTTCTGATTGAATACAGATTATTTGCTGTTGTCAAAGCTGCAGTCTTCATTTACGAGCAACAAGTGAGACTTCCTTCAGAAGACAAAGCAATCAAAGAATAGTAGAACAAAATAAGGCACAAAACACAGCTCTTTTCATTATCAAACTGACATCTTGTGTGTTAGAGTCACTCTAGCCCTTTCCAGCTATCATTGAGTCGATTCCAACTCATGGTGACCCCATGCGTGTTAGAGTAGATCTGCGCTCCATTGGGGTTTCAATGGCTGTGATCTTTCAGAAGTAGGTTGCCAGGCTTTTCTTCTGAGGTGCCTCTGGGTAGATTTGAACCACCAACCTTAGTAGCTGAGGACTTAACCACTTGGACCACCCAGGGACTCCTCACTCTAAACCTGAATAGACTAATTTTGACATCATTGTGGTGAATAAATGAGTCATATGAAGAAGGGATTTTTGACTTGAAGTTACCTTAGGAGACAGTAGAGGAGAGTGTGTTGTGAAATTGTGGAGGAAATACGAAAGTTTTCATTTGGAGTTTACTCACAGTACCTCCAGTCACAGTTTCTTCAGTGATATGACCTTCACCACTCTTGAAGTGTAAGTTCTGACCCTAAGGCTGTGGCAATTTACAAATCTCATGTACAAGCAAGCTGGCTTTATAACTCTGTGGACAGTAGTGCCACAAGATCATGCCATCTGCCCATAATGCAAGTCCTTTTAAGATTTTTGACCCTAGGAATCCGAATTGACTCAATGGCAATGGGTTTGGTGTTGGTGTACTAATGATTACCTCCAAATATATAGCACTCCTGACAAAAGACAGTGATTGCCACTGGGAAAGAAAACATTGAGAGCAAAATTCAGAAGAAAGTGAATGCATGGATGGCTGTGCTTGTTATTCATTGAGTGTTTTTGACTTGCTAAAAGCAAGTTTAATGTATTTATACAATTTATAAAGATGTAACTGATTCTGGAGCTCTGCTCTTTACAAGGAACATATTTCATGTTATTGTAAGCACTGAAGAAAATTAAATCAATAAATCCACAGCCCGTAATTTGAGATACTCAGTTTGAAGAAAAATACATTGTCATGGAGGGAAGAGGAAATCTTTTACTTTGAGGAAGACTTGTAAACAACCTGTCTTGGTGCTACTATCCCGTGCTTTCAAGTGACAGCAAGAATTATGCTTTTGCTATAAAATTATCAAAGTGTTGTCATGACACCTCAAAAGAAGCAAAGGCCAACTCCCTACCTTTTTTAATGAAGCATATGCTCAAGTGGAAAGCAATGCAAATGAAGCTCTTTCTGCACTGTCTATGAGTGTCCTTTTCCATGACAAGCAGGCATTGCTGGTTTGCAGTGGAGAGAGGGTCAGGAAGCTGAGTGAATTTATCCTCATCGCTGCCATTGATGCTCCCTGTGACCACTGGCAAGCCAATCAACCTCTCCAAGCTTCACCCATTCATGTGTAAAAGGTTCATAGCGCAGCTTGTTTGCAAAGTGCCTAGAGCGTTCCGTGAAGGGCACTCCACCAATACGCAGCATTGGTGTTTGACGGGAGGGCGTTGCATTTTTTAATTATATGTTTGGTTGGATAGGTTATAGATTTTGTTGTGGTTGAATGTTGCCCCTTCTCCCTGGTTACACATAAAAAGACTAATAGGTAATCTCATTCTGTTACCATCTTCTTGAGCCCCCTAGAGAGTTAAGGGAATAGCAGAGGTTACAGGTTAACAATGCATTCTTTACTTAAAACAACAACAATACATGAGCATCTCAACAGTATAATATCTGTGGATGATAATTTATTAGGCTAAATGTTTCATTAGATGCTAAGCAGATAATGCTGGCAAAGACTCATGAAATAATGGGTTTTTTCATTTATTTTTTCCTTTTCCCTATTCCCTCAGTATTTTTTTTTTTTTATCCTTCACATAATACAGAGCATTAGAGATTTTTCAAGGCCTACTTTGTTTCTGAATATTTCAGAAAAATGAATTTTTTACTCTGGAAATCCTGAAACAAATGACTTTTTTTGTGTGTATCTAGGTTGTGGCATTAAGTTCACTGTTTGATTGCATTTATTCTATTGACAAATGTGGATAATACTGGCCCTAGATGCGGTGTCATATATCTCACACTTCTTTACAGATTTACGGAAAAACTTTGAGCAAGATCCACAAGGAAGGGAGGTTCCCATTGAAGGCATGATTGTCCTGCACTGCCGCCCACCAGAGGGAGTCCCTGCTGCTGAGGTAAGACAGATCATTTGGGCCTCTTCCTAAGGGGGAAGGCGGTATCCTCTGTGGCCATAGTGAAGTCACAAAGAGCCTTTGTCTGGTTATTCTTGCTGTCAGACCCAGTTAATAAAGATGGTGAAGAAATTTTGTGAAGGCAGCAAGCTAGAAAGGGAACTTGTCTCCCGTCTGCTTTTCGTTGACATGAAGCTCTTGGGAGCAAGCCTGGGTAGGATTTAGTTTCTGTTCTTGCTTTTGGTGACCCCAGATCTTGCAGATGGGAGCACCTTGGTCCCCGTGATACACACATTGCTTATGGATCATATCTGCACCTTAACAATAACAAAGTCACATGAAAAAGTACACAGGGAAAGAGGTAAGTCCCTAGTCCCAAGCTTCACTGGTGTTTGCACTCACTCACTCTTCATTTGTTTGTTTTACAAACATTCATGGGGCATCCGTTATGTTTCAGGCACTGTGCTGGCATCAGGGATATATAAAACCTCTCAACTGTTAGTCCTTCTTCACAGTGAAGCATCTGAAATCTGGTTTTTACTCTTTGGTTGCTTTCTAGAACTTCTACTATTCTATTAGAATATAATTGTCACTAATAACACACTATGGTAATAGGGAACGCTTCCTTAAATCTTTCAGAGGCTATTGTGATAGACTGGTCATGTAGTCACTAAGGTACTACTGGGAGAAAAAAAAAAAACTGAGAAGTACAAAGCATGCTTAGTGCAATGATCATTTAATTGATAAATTTAGACCTAAGTTTAGCAGTAAACAGACCAGTTGTGACTCTTATATAGAAAGCTAGGAAAGGATCCTTAGAGCTGTTATTTATTCACTGATGAGTGTGGATATAAAATCCAGGATCCTTTGCCTCTCATTTTAGCGAAAATTGCTATGGGATTTTGTAATTGGAAATAACAAAGGAGGAGAGAAAATAAAAGAGGATGAGAAAAACACACATACTTGCCTATTTAGACAGAAAGCATGCTTGGTGGACACCATTCAAAACTCACGTCGTTCCGAGAAGTGAAGTAAATGGACTTGAAAATTAAAGTGAACACTCCACGCATGATATGAATTCATTAGAAACAAAAATGCTTATGTTTAGATTTTTATTTAATGTGGAACAAAAAGATATTTGCTCTTCTCTTGCTTCCTCCTTGTTTCCTACAAAGCGTGTGTCATAGTTTCCCGAGTAGGGTGGGAGGCAGCAGGGCATGAAATCACAGGTGATTTTTGTCTGTCTCATTTGGGATGTCCCGTGAGCTTCTGGGAGTCTAACTTAGGTGCCAGCAGTTTGCTACAGTCACTGCCCATCTCTCAACATCCCAGTCTACTGATGTTTCATGCATAAAGATATCTAACCTGGGTCACACTATGTGAAACAGGTGCCTGGTGCACCCATACATCCCTCTAAGCCTGTGCAGGGTCACTACTGTCAATTTTGACAGCAGTTAGAGAGGGGATAAGTGGCAAGGAAGGTGATACTTTCTATTAGCTATCTGTCCGTGGGAGCCTAACGTTCTATAGATGTCTAGTAATTCATTTTTACAGCTGAAAAAGAACTTTGATACTCACATATCACAGCCTTTGCATTTTAGAGGCACAGCAACTGATACTCCGATCAATGTCCTACCAAAGGTCTTGTAGCCATTTAAGGGCTATCTCTGGTCAAAATCCTCCAACGGTTCCTCAAAGCACTTGGAGTAAAAGTCTTTGTTCTTTTGATGCTTACATGGCTCAACATAACCTGGCCTGCTGTTACCTCTGACCTCATCTTCTAGGACTCTGTAGCCACACTGGCCTCCTTGCTTTTCCTCAAATGCACTAGGTGTGCACCCACTGCAGGACCTTTGCATGTGAGGGTCTCTCTGCTGGAACCCTCTTTCCCAATTATGACATTGCTTCCCTCGTTCCTTCACCTGCCCAGTGAAGCCTTCTGTGAAATATCAACTGCCCAGTGAAGCCTTCTCTGGACACTCTACTGAAATATCAATCATCTATCCCACATGTAAAAAAAAAAAAAAAAAAAAACCCAAACACATTGCCTTTGAGTCATTCCAACTCATAGCAACCCTATAGAGACTCTATAGGACAGAGTAGAACTGCCTCATAGGGTTTCCAAGGAAGGGCTGGTGGACTCGAACTGCTGACCTTTTGGTTAGCAGTCAAGTTCTTAACCACTGAGCCACCAGGGCTCCAGTCTCACACCTATACTTCCTAAAACCCTTATCTGCTTTCCCCTTAGCTCTTATAGCAAAAATATTGTATTTACCTCGCTTGTATTCTACCTGGTTTAGTGGTAGAATTTTTATTTATTTTGCTCATTTCTATATCCCCATAACATAAAACAGTGCTTCTCCCATTGCAAGTGCTCAATAAATATTTGTTGAATATGAATGAAAACTGGTATTCCTAACTATGTTGATCAATCTTTGAAACTATACCAGAACCAACTCCAGAAAAAAAACTGTGAAATCCATAAAACATTTTTTTTTTTTTCCCCTTGGAGTACTGGGTACTAGCATGAAAGTGAGCAAAATACTCTCCACCAGCTCTTGGGATAAAATAAATAAATAAAAAGGGGAGAAGGATAAACGATGTACAGACTGATAAGGTAATGAATGAAAGCAAAAATATGTTTTGATCTGCAAATGTATATATGAGTGTGCATACACACACACTCACACACACATTGAAGCATCTCCCTAGAGAATGTAGGGGATTTTTGAATTTAAAGGACTTTGGGGCTCTTCTGAGCTGTGATCGATGGGATCCCTGTGGAGAAAGGGCTAGCTTCTAGGAAGTCAGCAGCTTCCTATCAGTTCCATCACTTGAAGGGCTGAACTTGGGTTGAGGCTTGGGAGCAGCTCTTAGCTCTTGGCACACCCTCCATCTTCCTCGCCTCAACAACCTACTCATGAAGCAAATGAGTTCTGCCTATTGGTTCAGTCCATTTTCCTTCATTTGCTTCTGATGGCCCTTTTCAGCTGGAGCCACAAGGAATGGAATGGGATGTGAAAAAAATTCAGTAGCAGCACAAACTAATGTTAGTGAAAATACATTTGGGAGAGTTGTTGAACAGGGAAGGATTACAATATAGATACATCAGAAAGAATGTACTTTTTTGGGGGAGGGTACCTACCTCCCACCAAACTGCCAAACTGTAGATATTCACTTCCCATACTCCCTTTGATGTTTTATCACTCTTTTATTTTAATCATGTATATTTTATTAGGAATAAATTTCAGAGCCAAGCTAGTGCAAATTAAATAGAGGCCCATTCCAAGGAGCAGCTGGGTTGTAGACTAGTTTAAAACAGAAATTTTGAGCCAGAAGGGGCAAATGCTCTGTTTTCTACATTTTGTATTACAGATGAAGAGCCTGTTAGCTACACTGTGGGTTAAATCAGCTGTTGTGGAACCCTAAAAAACATTTATAGCATCATCCTAATTAATGCAGAAAAGCATCGCCAATTCCAAACACTTGAGTTATTTTAGAATCTCAATTGTTCATGACTTGGATACCAACTATATCTGTACACCAATGTTTACAGCTATTTAACTTTCAGCAATAGATTACTAACACAGTGTTATTACCGCCAACATCTGTGTTTTTGCTGAAGTGAAGGAAGAGTGAGAGAAAAAAGTTGAAGGAGAGAAGGACAAAGATGTCGAAGGAAAGTGAAAATGTTCATCCTCTTCCACAGTAGGGGTCTCCCTCAATGTGGAAATGTCTGTTATGCCTCTCCTGTGGTCTTCTGATTATCAGCTGTATCATTGTGGTTATTGACTTCACAATGATGCAAAGATCCTACTGTTAATGACACTTCAGTATGATAGTGATTGGAAATTGTGCTTGGATATTGATCAGTTATGTGATTGTCACTGTCAGATATTATCAGCCATAGTTTACCTTCCTGTGCATGCCATTTTCCACCCTCTCCACCACACCTCTTAGTCCTCTGCTTATTCACCTCTAATGGAGTCCATGGGGTCAAAACTGGAAGAGCATGTGGCTAGCAGGACCCAACAATGCATAGAATGGCTTTGATCCACAGTAGAATAGGAGATCTCCTAGTTGGCACATTGATAAGCACCTTAGGGGCATGTTCAAGTCTTTTCTTTTTTTTCATATGACATATACAATTGAAATCTCTCTGAAAGATAGAACTGTCTTGGGAACTAATTCATGTATATTATCTGAGACAGAGGTTTGTATAATAAGAACTCACTTAAAAAGGACATCGTGCTTGGTAAAGTAGAGGATCAGTGAGAATGAGAGAAACCTGCCATGAGTTGGGTTGACACAATAGCTATACAACGATGGCTCAAACATACCAACAATTGTAGGGATAGTGCAGGACCCGGCGATGTTTCATTCTCTTATACGTAAGGTCACCATGAGTTGGAGCTATCTTGAGGACAACTAACAACAACAGCAACATAATAAGAATACGCCCTCTCCTCACTTATCAACTATCTTGTTATCTGATGTTTTGAATTTACAACAGTGAAAAATCTACTATCCGACTATTTTGTGCATTAACGATGTATGTCTGACAGTAACGAAAACCGAGGCACAAGGCGAGAGTAACACTGGCTGTGATGGTTAAGGTTATATGTCAGCTTGGCTGGGCCAGGATTCTCAGTGGTTTGGCAGTTATGTAATGATGTAATCTGGCAGTTATGTAATGATGTAGTCATCCTCCATTTTGTGATCTGACGTGGTCCTCCTCCATTTTCCTATAACACATATTTTCACATAACAACCTAGTCTTTGAAACCTAACCATGCTGATGAGTGAGGAGAAGGTGTAGAAAGAGCTACTATTTTTTGAATGCCACCTTGTACCAGGCACTGTGTTAAGTGATTTTTCCATAGACATTTCATTTAATTTGCACAAGAATGCCACGAGATACTAGAAAGCTATACATGTTATCATGCCAGTCTTATAGCAACATGTCCAAGTTCTCAGATAACTGGGAAGCACCAAGAGTAGAC